CCCTAAAATACAGCATTAAAACAAAATACTGTGCGGTTTCTTGCACAAACGAAATTGGGCACGAGATGAAATTTTGGCAATCTCAATTCTGCCTGCCAAAAACAAATGCAATTGTTATTAAGACAACACAGATCTCATCAGGTATTAGTTAGCCAAGATTTGTTACAGTATTACACAATAGAACACCATGCCAATGCCCCAGATTTTCCATATATTATTGAATACCTGTGAGGCAAGCCACAGTGAGGATAACCTCTTCTTTCTCTGTTCCCTCTGCTGCAGAACCGAAGCAATCATGCTGTAAGAGCCAGGAATATTATCTCCTGACACCCTTTTCCCTATATCTTCATAGGGATACGGTGCCTGACATGCTGCAGGATGCGAAAGAGCAGCAAACTTATTTAAGAATAACATTCCCGTGCACAAAGGTTCCRGGAAGTCCTAACGACAGGGCAGAAGAATCAATAACCCAGCTCCGTTTTTATACGGAGCTGGTTTATGAACTCATCTGAGACACTCCACAGCCCGAGAGAACACACACGCCCGAAACTGCCATTCCAGATAATAAAAATAAATGGATTTTTTAAACTCTAAGGCTCAACTTTTTTTACGCATTCATTTGCAGAGCTGTAAACTTTTAGGGCAGTGCTCTGGTATCTTATGACAGGAGCAACACATTGCACGTGCTGTATGGTGATGCTTGGTAGGTGAAGCCTCCACCACGGAKACACATCTCCCGCCCAAGGAACCAAAGTGCCCCCATGGCAGAGCTTCTTTGATGGACAACAAMGGCACAAGGGACACACACCTACACCAGCAACGAGAGCGCTCAGCGTCAGCGGGCTGAAAAACAGAACAGGCTTCTGGAGGTGTCTGAACCCAAGGTGGAGCCTGGTCAAGCTACAAGAAAGGGTGAGGTGAGACGGACACCTAAGGTAGAAGGCAATGGCTTGGGTGACCCTGGAGGGCCCTGCCAGTCTCACTCCTGAACGTGGACATCAGAACCGTGGCACTTCCATGATGCCATTTTTCTTCCTCACCTTCTTTTTAGCAGTCACTGTTACCTAGTTCATGTATAGTTTTTAAAGACATAATGGGATAAGTAATTCCAGCAATCCCAGCCTTTCTGCCGCMTTTCTCCTGAGTGTATTTTGTTCAGCAAAAGCTTTTGTATTGGTGTAGAGTACAGGACATTTAAAAATATTATTTCATATTTGAAGTGACAAGGAGTCCCACCCCTTTGAAAAATTAACTCCAGGCAGCACGATTCTGCTCCGCAGAAGGGAAAAGTCACTCAGTAGGAGYCGATGGCCACCAGGGAAGGACTTGCAGTCACAACAGCAGGGACGAAGGAAGACACGGAAAGAAGGCAACGGGCGTCCCCGCCGATGAGGGAGCAAATCTGCTTTGGGGCAGGGTCTCTCTCTCCCAAATGACATCAGTGCTCCACATTTTAAGACCTAAAAACATTTTCCTGACGCTCTTTTTCTTCCTAGGCCAAGGCACAGGTGTCCTTTGAAGACGCTACCCAGCACTTCTGCTTTCTTACTGGATGCTGTAGCTACCTGACATCCTTCCTCATCAAAAGCCTTTCATTTTCCCGAGGTCTGCTTGCAGCAAAGATGGCATCCTTCAATTTTTCCCCTATTTCTTTGGAATATTTGCTCTTTCATGTTGTAGTATAACTCGGCATAACCTTTCTGCAGAACCTTGCAGACCCACACATGGTGGGCTTGGGGTGGTACCAAGAAGCATCCGCACTACTGTGTGTGTGGAGCCAGCACTGAGAAATAGTGGATGGGTTTGCACTTGATTAAAACAAAAAGTAGGTTTTCGGGTTTTTGTTTTGCTTTTGATTGTTGAGTTGTTATTTTAATTCAGAAAAATCAATAGGCGACTGTTTACCATTACCTCTAAGCTTGACTAACAGCAGCACCTATCACCAGATGAACGGTGGAGATTTGACAGTATTTGAGGGAGGAAGTTCCCTCTGGCAGGACGATCCAAATGCACCAGATTTCCYACGCCCCAGTCTGCAGGAAAACCGATTTCCACTAACGTGTTTGAAATGCTAGCAGGGAAAGGTGGGAAAAGCAGAACTCCAGCCACCCAGGCACAGTCAAAATGCGGATGTCGGGGATGTGGAGAGTTGGGAGCTCAGTCTCTTCCTGGTGGCATTGCATGTGCTACCTGAGAGATCGTGTTTCAACAAAAGTAGAAAAGCGAAGGCCTTAGTCTAACGAGAGGAGTCTAAACCCCTTGGAGCTCCTTCTGCCTTCTAATGATTTTGTTTTTCTGGAAACACGTTAGAGGAAGCGGTTTGAATACTCGGCTTGAGAGCAGGAAGTGAAGATGCTACCGATGAGAACACCCACTAATATCCCAATGCTAGCAGGCTTACAATCATTTAAAGAACTCATTAATCTAAAGAAAATACTTAGAGAGAAACTGTCATAATTAGAACTGGTGAGCAGCCAGCTCTGCTGAAATTAGATAGTATATCTGTATATCTTTTTCTCTCTTTTTCAACCGAGACACCTTTACAGAAGATAATGTATTTGATGGATTAAAATCCTCTGCAATAACTTTGGGTAGAGTTAAGCCGATAACGGCATTCTTAAAAGCGGCTGCATTTCACAAACGTTGCCATGAAATGGAGGTTTTGCCASGCAAACAGCACCCGGCCTTTTTGCAGCGGCAAAGCCCTAGCGAACGGGTCATTTCTCTGCCCCTGCTGAGCTCTGGTTCAGAGCAAGAGGAGCCACCCAAGGTGCCGCATCCTACCTGCGCCTCTTGGGGAACAGTATCACAGAACTTAAAGCAATTTCTCGGCATCTTCTCAGCAAAATTCTCGCTAACGCTGCCCGGCTGCTGCCGGGAAAGGCACTCCGCGGAGGCGGGCAGGATGGGAACAGAMGGAGGCGACTTTGGTGCTCACGGCGCAAGGCGAGACCTTGAACGGGTGTAGCTACAGCCAACAGCACCAAGTGCCGCGGCAGGCGCACGCAGGAGAAACGCCTGTTGCTGCACAAGGGATCCAGGGCCCRGGAATGCAGGGCACAGCCTGGCTCTGCTCTGACCTTTCTGCACGGGTCCCTGGCTGTGCGGATCWGCAACCACCACAGAGACGAAACACCGAGACGCCGGCAGCTGCAGGCAGAGGGCAAGAAACGAAGGAGAACCAAAGCTGGGAGATGAATTCCTCGCTCACATATTCCACTGCTGCTAAACTCAACAATATTTTTAGCAAAGCTAAATCAAGTAAGACCAGAATAATTTATTTATTTATTTTTTTAACAGTTCTGGTCCTTTAACGGAAATAATAATAAAAAGGAAAAAAACACAACAGATAGCAACYTATTGGGCTTAAAAAGAGGGCTTGGCTTCATCCATCTGACAAGGCACTTCTCATTGTGGTCCCTTCTCCTCCAAATTAACAGGGCCATACAGCAGGGAGAGGGAAAAAAAACCTCATCAGATGCTTTAATGAAATTTTGTTCAGCATCTTGCAGCTCCTAGGCATCTCCTAGGCATGGGCTTCTATAAATAAAAAAGGGAGGGCTTATTATTATTATTACACTRTGACTCATGAAATGTGTAGCTGCAGGGAGTTAGGGATTTTGGCTTTTCCTCTGGGCTCTCCGGTGCTGTCTGCTGGGTCAATTAGAACACGGAGATTTCTCATCATGGAAAGCCTTTCCTTCCCTCTGTTTATTCCGGGCATGCGCTTCCCTTGCATCCTCCCTTCACCACCTCATCACTGCTGCAAAGCACAGCAAATTCATGTCTGTCTGCGTGGAATAACACRGCGTTCGCCTCCCGACAAGAGAACCCGCAAGCCAAACAGCAGAAATTCAAATGGAAATACAATATTACAAATAAATCTGTAGACGTCTCCTGAAAAGCTCCTGCGGACCTGGGCTGATGCAGTGTTCCCTGCCTGACCCCTCGAACAGAAATAGATTATAATTCATCGTCCTGCTGAAGAGCGTAATATGTTGGGCCATAACGAGTGAACAGGGGTTATGGCTCCCATAAAATATTCACACCACYGGCTCCTTATCCCGCAGTTTCTCCCGAGTGTGATTAATCACATGTTATTATTTAAAGTTCCTATAGCGTGGGAGTTTATGTTTCAGTACCGTTCAAGGATTAGATTATAGAAAATTARTTTCAGATGAACTGTTTGGTTCAGGTAGATTAATCCACTCTGATGACGCTTGCCAGCCAATTGAGCTCTTCCCTCAAACCAGCAGGCCATGTCCCTGTGGTTAGCCAGAAGGCCATAAACAACCAGGGAGATTTTCTGCCCACCTAACGCTGATTTTTCTTTAAGTACTCTTCCCTTACCTGAGACAGATATCTATCCTGCTATTTAGCATAATTAAAACATAGGCACTAATATAAAGCTCCTGCTCAGGGAGCAGTCAGTTGATGGCAGTGCATTCACAGCCTGCAGAACAGCCTTAATTTCAGTAACACCTAAAGCCTAGGGGGAGGAAGAGGAGGGTGAAGCATCTAGTGGTATCTCCAGGAGCTCAGGAGCCATCTGGATGAGGGAAACTTCCACGCTGCTCCGTGCCAAGGGTGCTGTCAGCTACAGAACATGCCCAGGTGGTCACCACGTCTTCCCACTCCTAGAAAATGCCAGGCAAGATGTGGTGTCCTTGGGCAATCAGCTCTAACTGGGATGGGAGAAGTGTTTCACGAGCACTGCGTAGAGGGGTATCTTGGACCCAATGATCTTGAAGATCCAACCATAATGCTTCTAAGATTTCTCCATCATTAGTTCAAATATGGGCTTGGTGTCCAGTGTAAGAATCATGGTTCACTTCAACTCAGAAACAATCAGTCTTTAAGATTATATGAAATGATTAGAACTATGTGTGCAAGCACAGGACACAGCAGTGGTCCTGTCCCGCAGGGAGCCAGTTCATGCTCACAGGAGAAGGCCACACGTGGCATCTCCACGTGGCCACCCACGTTCCAGCTCAACCTACCTCTCACGATGATGTTGGTGGACTTTTTCGCGGGATTTCCCACGTTGTTATTGGCGATGCAACTGTAGGTGCCGGCGTCTTCGGAGGCGATGGCAGGGATGGTGAGGGTGCCGCCGTTGAGCACGGTCTTGTCGGGCAGCACGCCGAGGGACCTCACCCACGTCAGGCTGGGGGCTGGCTCCCCTCCCGTCGTCACGCACACTAAGGTGATGGCCTCCCCGGGGTTCACCACTATGGGGTCGTCCACGAGGAGCTTGATTGAAGGGGATGCTGCAAAACACAAGGTGGGGAGAGCGCTGGAGCGGGACGGTGCCCGRGGTGTTGCTCCGTGTAACACCCTGCTCAGGCATTGCTTCCCTCGCTGCCAAACCCGTGGGAACAATCCCACGTCGGCAGGGTATGATTTTCGGGAGCGGAGCCAGCACGCTGCATTTTATACCCTGCAAGAAAGGCATTAGTAACAATCTCATTATTTGGCACGGAAAATACGTCGCTCTCAGAGTCAGACCCTGCCCGCTGAAAATCAGTCCTCTTAATCCAGCAAAATCCTTGATGAACTTCCTAGGATTTAGCAGAAAACTAAACACAGGAGTGCAGCCCAGGGGCTTTTCCTGCAGGCCACGCAGCCACGGATCTGAACCAGGACGGACACGATGGGAACTGGTACGGAGGCGACTCCATCCCCGTTCCCGCTCCGGCACCCAGGGTGACCACAGGGATGAAGGTGGCTAGGGGACCTGCTGAGCTCCTCTGCAGCTAGCGGCGAGATCACGCAGCTCTTGGAGAGCAAGTGATTAAATTTCACTCTCTGTTCTTGCCTCTGCTCTGCTACGGGAGCTGCACCTGGGATAAGAGGAGCTGTCAGAGCGATCAGCACGAAGGGGCAGGATGAGACCATTCGTTTCAGACGCCAGAACGGAAACTCACAGTCTGAACTGCAACGTCCTCCATCGCTTGTTCGGAGCTGCCACCCTTGCTGCTGCATTAGGGCTTTGCTTGAAGGCAAACCCTACCAGTCACAAAAACAATCAACCAATGCCTCAATTCCTATCACTAGGAGAGAAAAAACAGAAATGCKAAGACAAAATGAAGAGCATAGAGATGAAGGACTGGGCAAAAGCTAGGGAAAGGAAACCAGAAAGGGTGCGCATGAAAATGGAAGGAAATAAAATTTATGATAGATTCAGCTAGAATTCAGCTTCACATCTGCAGGACCGTGAGCACAACCAGGCTGGGGCTCCCTTCTCCAAAGAGGGGTAGGGACTTTTCCCCAGCAAGAACAGAGGGTCAAATTCACGTCTACTATGAAGAGAATATGAACCCACAGCAACAACTCTGGCAAGGAGCCACTCTGCTCCGCTCTCASCAAACACCAAGTCACAGAGACAGGGAGCAGGAGAACCGCAGAGAACGCTTCCAAACTCGGAGCAGAAGATGAAAGCCCCAGCAACGTCAACCCAGTCTGGGGCTGCTGTTACCGTGATGGCCTCATAAGCCTCCAGATGAAAGGGGGCCCTTTGCCATCCCCAGGTAGAGACACAAAGATAGCAGCTGATGTGATAAGGATGCTGAGAGACATCCCTTTCATCACAGCACTCAGACTAGTAAGTACATGAAAATTACGGCTTGCATACAGCAATTTCTCTTTGCTTACACCACACATTTCATTTAACTACAACCTATCCCACCAGAAAACACAAACACGAATCCAGGAGTACATTCAACTGCTACCATCAAAAGCTGAATTCAAATCAAAGAACGTCAACAAATTAAGGAGGGACACTAAAATCACTGTAGAGAATAGCGGTCAAAGCCATGTTTATGAAGCGAATATGGATCCACGGTGACAACAATCTATTATTTTGGTGTTTCTACACCTGGAACTGTCTATATCTTTATATATATATATAAATATATATAAATAAATATATATAAAGCAGGACCTCTTATTTTTGGCTTGCTCATCTGCAGGAGAGGGACCTTCTCACTCGGTGCAAGTGACAGTGACGAGCAGGTCTGCGGGGCCAGGCCCAGCTCTGCCCACCCGTTCCACACACAGAAGGGGAGAAACAAAWCAAGGGTGAAGCAGGGAGGGTTCACCACAGAGTGAGGGAGGTGAGCAGCAAAGTCTCCAAACGCTCCCCAACCCAGCAGGGCTGGCTGAAAGCATCTCCAGCTCTAAATCAGTGTGTTCTGGCACTCACTGCTCTACGTCAGCCGAGAGCAGGATCTGGAAAACATGGGTGCTAAATCACAGCAGATAAGTCATCTGCTGGCAGACCCAAATTAAGTAACTTGGGTTAATTAATAGCACATAAGCTTACAATAATTTTGCTTTACTGCATGGCTCTTCTGTTCTACTCCATCTGGAAGGGCTTTCCAGCCCTTGCCACACGCTCTGGGTGTCCCTGCTTGAGCAGGAAGGTTGGACTAAATGGTCTCTAGAGGTCCCTTCCAACCTTAAGCTTGTGTGATTCTGTGATGTCAAAGCGTCCCACTGCACGGTGCAAGCAGTTGTATTTCCCATAGTTGCAAATAGCTGCATTTTCCCAACATTGTGGATGGAAAGGCACAGCACGAAGAGGGCCAAGGCGGCAGGGTGCCGAAACTCCCATGGCTACGAGGGCAGCAAAGCCCAGCCCGGGCTGCTCAGGAGTCTCCATGTCCTCCAGATGTGGAGAGCAGACATCTGGAAGATAAACGGCCTTGGACCTGTCCACGACCGGCCTTGGGGACTGGAATCACTCCAGGTGAGGTGCCTCCTTGTTCCCTTCCCAGCGACAGGTGGAGGTGCTGCCAAAAGAGGATTCATCTCATCTTCACGTGTATCTGCAGGCAAGGAGCTCCCCTGCGGAGAGCCCAGCTCTGTGCTCAGCAGAGAGCCCAGAGACGGGTTTAATCTGCAGAGGCAGCGCTTAGATGATGGATAAGTGACACAACTGCACCGTTCGCAGCAGGTTTTACCAAGGCTTGAGGAGCCTCTACATGTGCTCGGGCAGCAAGTGCCACTACGAGCACTGCACACACGTCCACCGCCCACGCAGCCGGCGGTCCGCAAATCCCTCAAATATTTGCGCTTCCAGGAAAAGGAGCGCTTGAAATTTTGGCCTAAACCTCTCTCTAATAGAGATCTATTATCTCTATTATTTAACTGCAAACTTTTGGGGTTAAACACATACAGCATAGAACTGAACAGTGTAATTCAYCGACACAATTTTTTATTTTGGACCAATGTTATTAAAAAACAGAGCAAGCAKTTATAAAGATGCCAGGATGATCCAGAGCAATTATAATAGCTGGTGATTTTATGAAAATATCAAAATATTGTGAATTACTAAAAACAAATGTTCCAGGGTAAAAAAATGACATCTACCTTTTTGTGCAATAGGAGGAAAGAGCTCCTGTGTACCTTGCAGGTTTTATACGCTCCCCTGAAAGGTCTCCTGGTGGCCTTTGCTGGGGACACATCTGGTCTGCGTTATCACAGATTCACAGAATATTTAAGGTTGGAAGGGACCTCTACAGATCATCTAGTCCAACCTTCCTGCTCAAGCAGGCACACCTASAGCATGTGGCACAGGGTGGCATCCAGGCGGGTTTTGAAGACCTCCAGAGTAGGAGACTCCACAACCTCCCTGGGCAGCCTGTTCCACTGCTCTGTCACCCTMACAGTAAAGAAGTTGCTCCTCACCTGGAGACGGAACTTCTTGTGTTTCAGCTTGTGGCCATTACCCCTCGTCCTATCGCTGGCCACCAGTGAGAACAGCYTGTCCCCTTCCTCCCTGCATTCTCCCTTCCTGAACTTGTCCCTTCCTTGTCCCCCGACCCAAAGGGACAAGGAGCACGATTGTCCATCCTCTGCATTTGCAAAGCACCTGGCCTGGAGACCAGGATGCACTCAGATGTTGCATTTGACAGCAGGAAATCACCTCATTGAGTAGAAAGGAAGAGGAGATAAAGAGCTCTCCAAAAGAGTTGAGTCTTATGAAAATAGTAATATTCTAAAAAAACGAAGAGCAGCAAACAACCAAGAAAACTCAGTATGAGTCTGCCGGTTCGTGGAAGGATCTGCTCTCTCAAAACAAGGCTGGCACCAGGGCTGACATTGCAGCCTACCAGGAAAGGGACAGGCCTAGGGACAAGCTGAGCATCTGCAGCCTCAGGAAGACTGTCAAAAACTCACAAAAAAGCTTTCACATGATCCCAGCTGAGGTTATTTTAAAAGAAGCACATCCCAGTGACGGCAAGCCAGTAATCGATACCTTTAAGTTGCTTTTATCATTTAAGCTTTGCAAAATGTTAGTTTACAATTAGCTATATTTAGCAGCCCAATACCTGGTAGTGTTTGGCTGGTCACCATGTTTAACACTTTTTTTTTTTTTTTTTTTTAAATGCAAAATGCAATTTAAAGTGTAAGGGCTTCCAAAAAGTCTAAGCTCTTCAAAGCCTGCAGGGCGCAGCAGGTGGATGTGCAATTAAGAAGAAAGGTGTGCAGCTGCACCCCCAAAAGTTTCCTTTGCCAAAGTCTGCACTTTCATCCAAGCTCCTCAAAGAACAAGTCATCTTTGCTCCCTCTAAACTATTTTTTTTCTATCCTCCCCAACAGCCCTAGAGCAACCTAAGCTCACACCACCAAAGCCCATGAACAGGGGCATAGGGCCACGCTGACATGCATAGAGATATAGGATTARTGTCCCCAGCTGTAGTTAGAGTTGAAGAATAATGGATTTCATAGCTTTAAATAACATGTAAAATTGTCCTTGAGATTTCAGCATGGGGATCAAGTCAACTGAGTAACATCAAAAATGGAGGAGATGCCGGTGGCGATGTGTAAAATTATATAACTTTATATGAGATTTTACAGCAACAAAGACTTCATCAGCCCTAGGAGTGAGCTCTCATTGGAAGGCGTATGTCAGTCCCTATCAGCTTCACCTTGGCCTAAGTCTCTTTTGGACCAACACCCTAATGTTCAACCACAAGCAATGTCCTTGGATACTGATCCCAGGCTTGGTACCCAGGGCACCTCCCAGCCATGGGTAGGGATTTAGGCAGCCTGCCCTGGGGGGACTTTTCTCAGAAGTATCTCACTTAGCAGCACTGAGAATAGCTGAACTCCTACCAAACGGCAGCAAACTTGGACAAATACTTCCATGGGTGGGACCACGAAACAACATTTCCTGGCATCACACGTAGATACCATGGATGCCATGGATCTCACGTAGATGGTGAGAACAGCTCCGCGTTCAGAAGAGCTTTGCGTCCAAGCT